CTCCCACACTCTCTAGACATCAGGGATCCCTTTTCTATTTCCTTTGTACAGAAAGAGGGGCTGTATCTTAGCATCAATAGTGCTACATTACTGCCATCACCACTGCAACAGTGCAGGTTTTTAACTGGGCTGGCCTCAAGGCAGGGCAAGGAGAGAAAAAAACAGGAGGGGGAACTCCTTCCATATCTTCTGGCTCACAAGGGTCCCTATTCTGAGTCTTCTGAATAGAAGGAGGGGGTTTCTGTTGGGCTTTTCTGCGACTGGCGTTCACTGAGCAGTCCTGGGATTCAGCCCTCCAAAGGTAAAAGCCAGGAGATTAAGAAGAAAACATAATACAAACAGTAAATTCACTGCCAGTCCAGTAGGTCTTCAAATTTTGACGTCCCTACCCAATTTTCCTGCTGTTGTTTACTTTTCAGAATCCTCAGCTGCATTTTGCATTATTTCCAGAGTTCTTAGTTGTAATCAGTGGAGAGACAGGCTGTGGAAGACTTACTCCACTTTGTTCAGCACCAGGTATCATTCATTACACTTTAAAATGCATTTACCTTTACTGTATACAGTACCAATACAAACATAGATTTGGGAGGCAGTAAAAGGCAGTATCAGAATAAATGCTCCGAATAGCGGATATTGAACCGAAAGCTCTTTAACTGATATATTTGAATGTGTCTAATTAAAGATGAAGTACACATTTGGCAGGGTAACTGCAAATCTATTCTAAGATATTGTAAAAATGATCAAACAGGAAACTCTAGACCTGGCTCATGCTGTGCTTTCTTCTTACAAATACTTCAAACTTCTGGCACCAGGCTCTCAAAGTACTTACCTGTGTGTTCTACCCACCAATAGCTATTTTGAAACTGTGTCATTTGGCTTAGAATTGTGTGGTCTATAAAAACACAAAGCCACTTTTTAATGCAACAGTTTTCCATTACAAAACACTCTTTCAAAGAGTGTACTCTTCAACTTCAGCAAGATGTCTTAAATAACAAGAAACACACAAATAGCCAGCAAGTCAAGCTTACTCACGGGGCTGGCTCAAATAACAAAATTCAACCTAAGTCAGGCCACTGGAAATGAAGAGTTGCCCAGGACTGAGCACCAAATCCAATGGAGCATTCTATTAAAAGTAAAATGATTTTAGGGTAAATGTAAAAAATTATACTATAGGGCAGCACTGGGCTTACAGCTTCATTTTTTTAAATGAATCCATGTTATGTATTTAACATTTTGTAAATGTATGAGACTAGGATTGAGAACTCCTCTTATGGCCTGACCCTCCACTTGCTGTCTGTGATAGAGTGAAATATTAGGTCTTCCACCCTTGTTTCATGGCATACAACTCCTAAAATCCTTAGACTCTCCAAAGTGATGTCTTTTTGTATGCTAGTAAGTTGACAGATGACTGGCAGCCCCTAGGCAGCTTCAGGATAAGGACTGGTCACTGGAAAAACTAAGGCAGGATTAGAGGGTTGGGACCCCCAACCTCCAAGGGGAGAGAAGCTGAAGGTTAAGTTGGTCACCAGTTGCCAATGGTTTAATCAATTATGCCTAGGTAATGACATAATTATTATGACACTTCTATAAAAGGCAAAAAGGGCTAGCACTTCTGGACAGATGAAGATACGGAGGTTGACAGGAAGCGAACAAAAATCCATGTACCAATAGTGGAGGACTCCACCTCCACAGGGAGAGAATCTCCTGTACTCAGGACCCTTCCAAGTCTCGCCCTATGTATCTCTCTATCTGTTTGTATCCTTTGAAATATCCTTTGAAATAAACCAGTAAACCTAAGTGTTTTATAGAAAATTAATCTAGCCCAAAAAAGGTGTTGTAAAAACTCCAACTTGAAGTAGTTGGTTGGTCAAAGTTCCAGAGACCCAAAGTTACAACTGGTGTCTGAAGCCTGTTGGCATTGGGGGTGGGGGGAGGTCTTGAGGACTGTACCCTCAACCTGTGGAATCAGATGCTATTTCTAGGCTGACAGTGTGAGAACTGAATTGGAGGACATCCAGCTGGTGTCTGCTGCGAAACTGATTGCTTGTTGGTGGGGAGAAATCCCCCACATTTGGTCACAGAAGTCTTCTGTGTTTTCTGTGGAGTAAGAGAATTAAAAATACACTTTTGAGTATGTTTTTACACTCACAGTGTCCATTTCACATTGCGGAAGGGGCCTAAGTAGGTGGCAGATGATGACAGTACTTTTTCTTTCTTATCTGGCCAATGAAATGGCTATGTTAGAAGGAACTTTACATATAACTCTTACTTTACAGAAGAGAAAGCAAGCTCAAGCATTAAGTGACTTATCTAAAATCACATATTTGCATAAGATTTGAAAGCAGGACCCAGGATTTCCAATTTCACATCCCACATTCCTCCCACTACTGCCATCTTTCTTTTTTTTTTTTTTTTTTTTTTTTTTTTTTTGAGATGGAGTCTCGCTCTGTCACCCAGGCTAGAGTGCAGTGGCACAATCCCAGCTCAATGCAACCTCCACCGAGTAGCTGGGATTAAAGGCACCCGCCCCCATGCCCAGCTAATTTTTTTATTCTTAGTAGAGACGAAGTTTCACCATATTAGGCTGGTCTTGAACTCCTGACCTCATGATCCACCTGCCATATGCCTCCCAAAGTGCTGGGATTACAGGCGTGAGCCATCGTGGCAGGCCCTCCCTGCTGCCTTCTAAGAAACTGCAAAATCTGGGAAACTTATGAAGTGATGGCACCTGGGAGATGTTGAGCAAGGCACCAATCACGGATGCATTGGCAATCAGAATGCAGCTGGCATGGGAGGTTTTTTTTTTTTAATCCCACTACTCCCCACCTGATATCACCTCTCTGAATAACAAGTTAATCTGAATACTTTTCATTTTATATACTCATAAAAATAAATAAAAATAAACACCTGTTGCGATGATAAAAGGAAATGTGGTCTTTTCCTTCGGTGCCATTTGTTTTTGTAACCAAGGAAGGGGAACATCACACACCGGGGCCTATCATGGGGAGGGGGGAGGGAGGAGGGATTGCATTGGGAGTTATACCTGATGTAAATGACGAGTTGATGGGTGCTGATGAGTTGATGGGTGCAGCACAACAACATGGCACAAGTATACATATGTAACAAACCTGCACGTTATGCACATGTACCCTAGAACTTAAAGTATAATAATAATAAAAAAGAAAAGAAAAAGAAAAAAAGAAAAACATAGCAGTAAATCCAAACTGAGAAATGACACGGGCCATCAAACAAGCTACATGTCTATTCTCATATCTATTCTCTAGCTACATGTCTATTTCATCTCTAAAGATAAGAAATATTTTCCCCCATTGGTTTTTCTTACTACACCAACAGCAGAGGGCAATGCAGACAAGACAGTCTTAAAAGCAAATCAGTTACAAATACGAGAAGAAACAAGACATGCATTGTTGTCTCCCATCCACAAGCTGAATGATAAGGAAGAACTGGGCATTCATAGGCATCAGGACTAAACTGATAGGTAATGTGATTATGTGTTGCCTCTAATCCAAGGACAGATCATGGATTGTTCCCTGGACCTAACACTGCAGTATGTTTCTGGAGAAATCTCCAAATTGTGGGAGACCTGCCAAGCTCATTTTCTCTAATGCAGTTACCAACGGCCAGTCCCAAGACACATGTTTTCCTCACCTCATCCCAAGAGGCATAATTAGGTCTTGAGACAGGACAACAAAACCAACTCTAGAACCTTACCTCCCAATTGCTTGATAACTCTGACAGTGAACGTGGACAAAATGTACCCAATCCTCAGATTGATTTCCTCTAATCCCAGGCCGTTTGCTCGGGTTACTGAAGACACAACCACACACATCCTCCTGAATCTTCCATACCTCTCACTACCATCTTTGGCTGTATCTTCCATTCAGAAAGGATCCTTTAAAGTCTTAAAAGCAAGTAATTTTTTAAATAAAGGCTAATTACCTATTTGGCTTTCCAAAGGCCCCTGATAATTGAGCTAAGACTCTTGAAGCTACTCTTGAGGGTAACTTTAGAGTTTAACATTTCCACAATACTCACTAAATCTTAGTCTTTCTCTCCCTCTCTCCTTTCTCTTCCAGTCTATATCCCTCTGTGTTTCTTCCATTCGTCAGTCATGGTCATATTAGTTGTAATACTTTAGAAGTAAATATCAAAACGCTTTAAGCTTTAAATGAAAAACTGAGTTTTTAAGACCCTTGTGGCTTTCAAATAACCTTTTTCCCCTGGAAGAATGCTACCTACAATAGAAAAATTTCTATACGTTCTTCTGTTCATTCTCCTTCCCAATGATCCCATTTATGTAACTTACAAGCACCTACTATGTGCCAGAGGCTATGACAGATCCGGGGATAAACACAAAAACATGGTCCCTGTCCTTAAGGAACTCTTACCTCATAAGAGAGGAGAGTAAGCCAACACTACCAGGAGGTTATATGTACCAGTTGCCCTTCTGTACTACTACTTAATACTCATAAAACCACCATGAAGTGGATAAAGCTGAGAAACCTAGGGCTCAGAAGGGGTTAATTTGTATAAATTCATAAAACTCACAAGTATAAATTATATAATTTGTACTAATTATAAGTATAAATAACTATAATTTATACTGATTATAAGTATAAATATCCTTTTACACTATTCCATTGAGGCAGGTGCATGGCAGATATGTTTAAACTAAAATGAAAGAGCAGATAACATTTACTGCATACTACCATGTGCCAGGCACTGTTCCAAGAGTTTTATACAGTTTGTCTTATGATTCTGTGAGACAAGTGTTTTTTTTTAATAACCTGAAAATAAGTTTAATCTATTAAAAAGAGTAAATGGCATAACATTTAAGATATAAAAGCTCAAAAGGGGGACAGGTAAAGACAGTAAGTCCAAAAGTATAGACAGTTCTCACTCAAAAGGAGAAAAAAATTGCTTGGTAGGACCTGAACACTTCCTCAACATCTAAATTGAAAAAGATGATGCAAACACTGTTTAATTAGACCACTTTATTTTAATTGCTCTCTCTAAAACCTCAACATCATATATTAGAAGGAACTACAAGTTAGAAGAAATTGCAGCTGACTAATCACTCAACTCTTTGTGGGGAGAACTGTCAATTTTTCAAAAGACTTTTTTTATACTTTTTGAAGTCAATCATCGTAATGGCAACCTTTTGAGGAAAGTAACCATTACCTCAACAGGTGCCACAGCTCCAAAGTTCTACAGAAGTGGGATTTGGGGGAGTTAGTAGAGCTGTAGGAAAGCTAGGGGTCTTGTCTTGGAGCTGTGTTAATACAGCAAGCACACTATGTATATTGTATGTTACAGATCAATAAACATGGCAAGGCTTTCTAAAAATGCTTTTTATGCACATTTTACATAAGATTAAGAAACCTCAAAAACACCAAAGTGTGGTGGGGGTATAAGTGGGGAGACACAAAAGAAGAGACAAGAAGGGGCTGGGACCCTAAGCTCCAGAAGAGGTATGTGATAAAATGACTGGGATAATAAATTGCTTGTGAAGTATGCTTTTTAACAACAAAAAAATTGAAGATGAATGTTTATCCTAGCATGGTAAAACCTTTGGTATGAAGGCAGCACCTACTGGTTTTGAGAGTCTATTAATCTGTGAATATCTGATCTCACTCAATTACAACTAAAGAAATAATTTCTAGTTTTCAGAAATTTGAAAATTTACCAAAAATGTGCTTTAAGAGCACAAGATTATTTGCAAGTCAATCACCTCAAGAACACTAAGTAATTGGTTTTCTTCAGAGGAATCATGCAAATGGCAGAATGAATCATTTAAAGAGTCAGGAGAGGACTGAGGTGCTTCAGAGGGTGCCAGGGGCATGTGGCTTTCAGAGTGGTCATCTTCGTACTTTACAAATTCTCTCTGTAAAAAGAACATAAAATAATGTTCTTGATTTCATAAAAAAAGACCTAAAATATATCCAAGAAAAGTGAATATGATAATTTAAAAGACAGAGGCCAAAAGGAATGAAACAGAATAACTCAGGTGTCACTGAGCCACTACCGTCTACTGACCTCTCATAGAAGTTACAAAAAAGAGACACTGTCCTCCTCTTTAGTAATCTGCAATCTTGAGGATCTTAGATGATTTATTCCACTTCAGGGGACAAATTCTCTGTCAGCTTTGATAAAATCATTTCTCAATTGTAATCAATAAAGAAGCCTGAGAATTTTAGAATCATGCGGGACTAGAGAAGCCCTTCAGTCAGGCTCTGAATACAAGGAAGACTTCTTCATCTCCTCAACAAAGGTCACCCTGTACCTTACACTGACCGCCTCCCTATATAGACTTTGTAAACTCTCTCTTAACGTTCTCTGTAAGGAGTCTGTCTCACTGTTGGTCAGCTCTAAGAGTGGATCAATGGCTGTAACGCAAATATATTTAAAACGTAAAATATATGGAGATACCCATATTATAAATACATTTCCTATGAATTTTAACTTTTCTTGGTTTTTAACAGCATTCCAGTATCTTATTTTTAATATTAGCTCTGTTATCAAGCGTTAACAGCCATTTAGCTTGCTCTGGGCTCCCTGGATTTGATAAGCACAGAGCTGAAGGACTGAGCTCTTGGTTGCACCCCAGTAGAGACCTTCTGGGCCCACTTTTCAACCCTGACAAGGCATCCTACTAAACCATGTTTGTTTGTTTTTTTAATTTCCCAAATTTCAGAGATTATTTGTCATCAGTATGCCCCACAAGATTAAACTTTATTTTGCTCCCTTACTTTGCTAATTAACACAAAGAAAATGTTCTACGAATATATTCAGTGAAAGAGTGTGCCAAATGCTTTATCTGCAGAATTTTCCTAATCTACTCACCAAAAAATGCTTTCAAAGAAAAAACAAATGAGAATAGTTTAGTAAGGCATATTTCTAGTGAACACACAAAACTTCCTAGTAATCATCAGACTCTTTTCTAAATGCTTCCAAATCTTCATTAATATTTTATAATTTTGCTAGAAACTAGTCATGTTTATTCATCTTAATTCTTAGAATTCATTCCCTTTTGAGCAATTAAGGCACTATTTGCTCATATGGCTTATCTCTGGGTATCTCATCTTCATGACTGCTTAAAAATAAAGAAAAATTTACTGACAGTGGCTTTGAGTTTATGTCTAAAAATTTTTGAGTTAGATTAAGTCAGCCAGATGTTCACTTAAAGCAAATAAAAGGTAACTATTAACCACAGCAGTAGCTATCCATAGGCAAAGTTTTAATGCTTATTAATAACTATAATTCTGTATTCTTAATATATATATACATTTTTATTTGAAAATGTATGTCATATTTAGAAACTAAAATTTTGAAAATAATCCAGGCTCTAATGATCTCTTACACAGATGAATAAATAACTACATAATTACCAAACAAATGTAACAAAGTCATGTGTTTCTTTTGCAACATTCATCATTTCCTTAATAAGGCTATAAACCTTTTTTAAAAAAGGGTTCTTACTTCCCCAGCCTCAAGAACTATTCATTCATAATAAATAAAGTCCTTTAGATTTGTCTATTTTACATTACCTATGAAAAAGTAAACAAAGTCACTGCCTCAGAATCTTTAGTAAGATATTCTTATTAAAGATGTGCACACGCAAATGCAATCATGCATTGCTTAGCCACGGAGATACATTCTCAGGAATACATTTTGCAAACTTCATGGAGTGTCCTTACACAAACCTAAATGGTACAGCCCACTACATACCTAAGCTATATGCTATAGCCTACTGCTCCTGGGTTATAAAACTGTACGGGATGTTATTATACTAAATACTGTAGGCAACTATAACACATTGGTATTCGTGTATAAACATGGCTAAACATAGAAAAGGTAAGGTACAGTAAAAATGCAGTATTATAATCTTATTACCATCCTATATGTGGTCATCCTGCACTGAAATGTCGTTATGTGGCACATGGCTGAACTTTATATTGTGCAAAATAAGATGCTTGAATTTCACTTTATGAACTGTAATTTGTACAGTAGGTCAAAAATAGAGTATCCTCATTCACTTGAATATCACTAGATTCTTCACAATTTACTTTTGTTGACACTACTGCTAAAACTTTATTCTACAGGATAAGAAGGAAATCTAAAATTAAAAGCTTATTGCTCAAATTTTTTGCTGTTTTTGCAAACTATTACAAAAGGCTGAACTTCTATTAAAGTTGAAATTGGCCAACTACTAGCAACAAAGAATAATGGCATGTCACATTCATTTGATGCATCAAATTCCCTGTCTTTTTGTACAATCCTAAATTTCAAGGTTCAAATTATGAACTATGAAAATTTCAAAATGTCTTTCTCTCTTTAACCAGGAACTATAAAGGTGAAATGAGGTAACTCACTCATTTGTACTCATACTATCTAATAGTCCTACAGAGGTTTTAATTACACATGTGCCAGGAAAACTTAATTCAGGACAGTCTGGTTTTATTCACCAATCCAAAAAATGTTGATGCCTGCCTCCAACAGAGATAAAACGGGAAGAAAAATTCACATTAATTACAACAATAATGGCTAATGTTTTCTGAGCATGTATTAAGCATCAGGAATAATGTTAAGCTTTTAACAGAAAATAGTATATCAATTAATCTATACAATAACTCTATGAATTAGGATTTTGTAAAACCTGACTTGCCAGCTGCAGGTAGACCTCATCAACTTTCCTCTGCACGACTGTGTCTTATATATTTTTCTATTACTGTCTGTATTAATGACATATGAGTATCACTATGGGCAGTAACAGAAGTGTTACAGAGAAAGGCATAATAAGGTCTGTCTGGGGTGGCAAGAATGGTTTCACAAGTATAGAGGGTTTACGGGGTTTGTAAGATTAAAAACTCAAAACAGTAAACCAGGAAATGTGGCTCAAGCCAAGTCTACACAGCATAATTTAATCATTTTGCTTGACAATGTAAGTTTCCATATTTATGTGAAGCACTCATATTCAAATATAAGCTTAAAGTGCAATATTAAGACCAGTGTTTTAATTATCACAGTTTAGACTGGTGAGAGTGCCACTCCATTTGCTATGAAGAGTTGCAGATCGGCTTTACTTGAAACGTAACCCCATCCAGAATTAAAATCTGGATCATTTAAAAGGATCAGATCAATCTCAAGATTATGGTACTTATTTTTTAAATTCCATGTATGTAATATCATCTTTAAAAACTTACCACATCATTTTATACTACACATGTTTTTTGTCCCCTAAATTTATAATCAGACCATAATGAAAAATAAAATCTGTCTTATTTTTTGAATCCCAAGCCACAATGTGCCTGGCCAGATACAGACACTCAATAGCTACTTAGTGAAATGTATTATAGAATCTGAAACATGGATTGGCTGCTAAGGAGAAAATAAGAGGAGATTTCAAATTCCGTATCTCCATTCTCCAAGAGAAAGACTCACTAAAGTTTGAAAACTTGAGTCATCAGACAGAAGACGTGAAGGTCAGGGAAAACTGATCAGGCCTCTTTATAGCCTGGGTGAACTATGACTCCAACGCCCTTCCACTCCTGCTTTAATTCCAGGTTCAAACACAAAGATGCAACTGTGTGAATCAGTAATCCCTCTTCCCACAAGTCTGTCTGCCAGGAAAGAGAGGAGACATTAGAGCATTATTAACATGTGGAAAAGATATATCCCATGTAATAAGTTTGCATTTCTGTTGATTCCACTGTCACATCTAAGTGTAATTACTCCAAGTTCATCCTTGAGCGTCTGTCAGATCATTTTTCAGACACAAATCAACTTTCGTTTGTTTAGGCTCCCTAGATACATGGAGAGACCCATTTCACTGCAGAGACTGAAAACAATATTAGACTTAAAAGTCTTAATTGAAGTTAAAAATAATACCCATTTTCTCCCAACCACTTTAAAAAGTTTGAAACCATAGAGTAGTGCCAGAAACAACCCTAGAGAACATTTAATTACTTCCATCCACTACACAAATTTCCTACAACATCCTTGATCCAATCTCAGCTCAAAATTATTCCTTAAGATTATACTGTTTTAGTTGTTATCTACAGATTAAATATTTACTGGATGCCTGCTACGTTCCAGGCACTACACTATGCAACGGTGGAATAGCAATAAACAAAACAGAAAAATTAAAATCTGCCTTCATGGAGATTACACTCTATTGGACAGAAAATAATCAATAAGTAACACAACTAATTAAGTGTTTCAGCTAGTGAAAATTGCTATAGAGAAAAATAAAGCAGGGGAAATCAGTGGTGGGGGCTGCAACTTTAAGCCGAGCGATCAAGGAAGACACCGCTAAGAAGAGATGCTTGAGGAAACACAAGAGAGAAAGGGAAAGAGTGCTCCAGGTATCTAGGGAGAGGCTTCCCAGCAGAGGAAACCACCCACAAAAAGGCCTGGAAGGATGTCTAGTGTATTCCTAGAGGTGGGGGCAGCTGGAAAAGGAGGGAAGGCAAAGCAGTAGGAAATGAAATCAAAGAAGTGGGCATGGGGCAAGATCCCATGGGCTGCTGCAGACCACTAGCTTTTACTCTGAGGTGGGGAGCTAATCAGGGGCTTTGAGCAGAGAAATGGCATAGTCTGATTTATATTTTAAATGAATCATTCTGGCTGTCATATGTATAAAAAGTAAGCAGAGGGGTCAGGAAAAGCGCAGAGTGAACACGCAGGAGACTCTGGCAATACCCCAAGTGAGAGACGGGTGACATTTGGGATCAGGGTGATTGCAGAGGAAGTGATAAGAAACAGATTTCAGATATAATTAGGGCCTAGATTCAAAAGATTTCCTAGCCGACCTGATAAGGGGCACATGACGTAGTCAAGGACAACTCCAAGGCTTTTGGTGAAAGCCCCAGGAGGAATGCTCTG